TTGAGGAAGTCATGTAACTACTTTGATCCTCATTTTCCTCATCTGAGAAGTGGTACTAATACTTTTGTATTACCTGCCTTGAAGGGTTTTAGTCAAGACAGCTGTTCGATATAGAAGTGCTAAATAAATGACTGCTATTCCAAAATAAAGTGAAATCTGGTAAATTCATCAATGGGACTATGCTGGATGCTAGGAGGATGTCAAGGCTAGCAATTCTACCCCCCCCCCCCCAAATTTAAGGTGTTAAGAGAATCTGAGGTTTTAAATGTACACAGACCTCCTAAACTGTGCCTTTTTCAAACTATCATTCAATTAATACATTAAACCTAAATGATTCTTTAGAGAGTTGAAGTATCAAGGTCTGTCTTTTTATCTACTTAAGTGATGAAGCCATTAAGGTTTGAAGGGAAATGAGGGTGGTAATTCAGACTACCATTATCAATTACTATCAGTGCTCAGGCACTTAGTCAGCAGGAGCCCAGTTAATTTCTTCATATTTTCCAGGTCAGGGGAGGACTTTGTTTCTTTTTTAATCACATGGAGCTGTTGCATTCTTCCCTCTTTTTTTTTTCTTCCATTCTTCCCTCTTAAATGAATTGTTTTGAACAAGACTTGTGAGAAATATCCATGTCTGGCATTAAGTTCTTCCTAATTCATGGTATGGCTTTTCTATTTGTAAAATGACACTTGAAATGTAAAGTTTGCTTCATTCATAAGCAATATAGGATCCTAAATATGTAACAGTTTTCTCAACCTAGAGCACATCTCATTCAAATTGAAAGCTTTAGAGGAGTAGTAGCAGAAGAGGCTCACATTTGGATCAAGGGGTTTGCTCTTTAAATTATAGCAGTGTAGGAAGGAAGATGTTGTATAAAATATTTTGATCAAAACCAGGGAAGGTCCTGCTGTCAACAAGCATTTATTAACTAAAAAGTATATGCCAGGCACTATGCTAGGCACAGGGTCTACAAAGAGAAAGACAGCTAGTCCCTGCTCTCAAGGAACTCAGAGTCTAATGGGAAAGACAAAATACAAACATGTATAAACAAAATATATACAGGATATATTGTAGATAATTGGAGTACAGAAGGAACAAATAAGTGATACAGATTTCCTGGAGACCAGTACGCACTAAGAAAATATTCTTAAACTTGTATTGAAGAATATGGGCATATGTGTGGTGGGGAGAAGAACATAAGCCAGAGAAAGGGTGGTATTTTTGTTTTGCCTTCGAAAGCAGATGTCTTAGAGTCCTTCAGGATGCCTTCCATAGTTAGATCAAAATTTTGCCATGTTTATTTGCCAATTTCAACATTCAAACTTACTGCTTTGAAATGTAACATTGCTATATGTTGTTAAATGTCTTAACATTCTTGAAAATAGAGCTGGAAATTATTTAAAACTTTAGACCTGAGCCATATCACCATGATTATTTCTGGGTATGGCCCCGGATGAAATGGTTGTTATTATAACTACACTTCCTCATAGTATTCACATTTATAGTGATTCAGGGAGGATCCCATAGTTTTCCCCATTCCCACCTCTCCAATCAACTGTAGTTTCTTATTAAAGATGAGGAGCTGGGATATGTCATTATCTAAGGTGGAGAAAAAGGGAAAGGAAATGTTATCATAGTTCAAATCCTGCCTCTGACATTTAACTAGCTGTATGACCTTTTGAACATCGTTTTTCTTATTTGTTAAATAAGGATGATAAAAAAATGAAAAAACTTAAATACTATTTGCTGTATCAAATGAAATAATGTATACATACTGGTTGGTTGCTGTCCTTCATGCTTAAAAGAAGACCAAAAAGACATCACTATGTTGGGGTTAAGATACAGTGTGGCTGATCAGACCAACGTGAGCTTGGAAGGCTTTACCACAGGTTGGGCACAAATAGTCATGTTCTCAATCTAACAGTGTTCTGTCCTGGGCCTTCTTCTCTTTTCCCTCTGTACTACTTCACTTGGTGAACTCATCAGCTCCCATTAATTTAAGTGCCATCTCTGTGCTCTAACCTCTCTGCTGACCTCCAAACTCCCATTTTAAACTGCCTTTCAGACATCTTGAGTTGAGTGTCCAGCAGGTTGAAAACAGAATTCATTAAGCCACCTTCCCTTCTTAACTTCCTCATTACTGTCAAGGATAATACAATCCTTCCATCTTTCAGGCTCACAAGCTACGTGTCATCCTTGACTTCTTTCTATTTTTCATCCCTCATATACACTCTGTTGCTAAGGCCTATTGATTTTACCTTTTCAGCATCTCTTGAATATGCCGTCCTTCTCTACTCTGATACTGCTACCACCCTGGCATAGGTCCTCATCATCTTGTGCCTGGACTATTGCAATAGCCTGCTGGTGGGTATGCCTTCCTTAAGTGTCTCCTCACTTTAATCTATCCTCCATTCAGCCATCAAAGTGATTTTCCCAAAGTACAGGTTTGATTGTGTCATCCTGCCCCCACCCCAATAAACTCCAGTGACTTCCTATCAACTCTAAGATTAAGTACAAAGTCCTCTGTTTGGCATTCAAAGCCCTAACCCTAGCCCCTCTCTGCCCCTAATTTCTGGTCTCCCTAGATGTTCTTTGGTCTAGTGACATTGGCTTCCTTGAAGTTCTACAAACAAGATGCTCAGTCTCTTGGTTTGGCATATTCAGAGACTGTCTCCTATACTCGGTGCTATACCAAGATGCTCTTCCTTCTGTTATCTGTCTTACTGACTTGCCTAGCTTCCTTCAAATACTAGCTAAAATCTCACCTTCAAAAGAAATCTCTTCCAAACCCCTCTTAATTCTAGAGCCTTCCCTCTGTTAAATATTTCCTATTTATGATGTGTGTGTGTGTGTGTATCCTTTAAACTTTTGTTGCCTCCTTTATTAGATCCTGAGCTCCTTGAGAGCCTGGACTGTCTTCTGCCTCTTTTTATGTTGCTAGTATTAAGCACAGTTCCCAGCACAATGTAGGCACTTAATAAGTGAGTTGCCCAGGGTCACACAGCTAGTCAGTGTCTGAGGCTAGATTTGAACTCAGGTTTTCCTTACTCCAGACCCAGAGCTCTATCCACTAAGCCACCTAGCTACGGGTGTATGGGGAGTTCAGAGAGGACTAGAACCTCAATGAGGTCTTACTGAGCCCCTTTCAAGGCTGCTTATCCACCTTTGGTGTCCACCTATACCCCAGCTCTCACCTGTGGTTTCAAGAATACCATATGCAGCAGTCATATCATGGTAAAAAGTCTCAGCAGATGTACTAAACCAGATTGAGTGTAACTCAGGCCTCAAACCTGTCAGTGAGTTGAGGGATGTCTACCTCAAGCATGTGAAGACTTCCCCAGCTGAACGGGTGGATGAGAATGATAGTCATGAAGACAGCTGAAGCAGGTGCTATGAAGTGCTCAGACACCAAATTCTCCATTTGCATTGTGGATCATTGCCAGTTGACTGGTGAAGAGAGCATAAGGCTGATGACCTGGATGAGTCAAGATATCACCCTGTAGTGTCCTCTTCAAAATGAAGGATGAATGAGACACTTACTGAAGTTTATTACCTGACTTTTTTTTTTTCACCTAAGTTCTGAATTTCTCACTGGGACTGAGATTTCCTATCTTTAAATCAGGGAGCTTCTGCCAGTGCCCAAACAGGTCTTCATAATTGATCTTTATCAACTGATAATTTTCTTTTTAAAATGAACCATGTATGTTTACTATTTTAGATAAAGATCTCTGGAAGTGTGTGTGTGTGTGTGTGTGTGTGTGTGTGTGTGTGTGTGTGTGTGTGTTTCTGAGGCTCTGAACTTTACTTTGATTCACCAAAACATAGAATCTTAGAGTTGAAAAGGACCTTAGAAGTGATTTTTTTGTCCAACTTTTTGAATATATTTCAGAACTTATTTGCATATATTTTATGTATCCTGCTTTCATATGCAGAATTATGCTTAAATAGTACTTCAAAGCTATAAGACTTCTAGGGTTTTTTTCCTGGGGGTGGGTGGGTGGGGGAGCCTTCATGAAATACTGTCAATACAACTCACAGTAATGAGGCATGCTTGAGGCTAAAGTGAATAGAGGGGAACAAAATCATCATTACATGTGCTTCTTGAGGTGGGGTATGGAAGCAGCTATTCTGTTCAGTCCTTGAAGATTTTCTTTGAAATTGGAAATTTGAGGTCATGGATAGAGTGGTAAAGAGTTGCGTCTTATTAAATGAATAAAAATAATACAAAGACTTTACTGTCCAGGAAAAATTTTGGCAAATAAAAGCTGTCTGTTTATGATTGTATTTGTAATTAGACTGAGATTTTCTGTTAAGAATTTTTTTTTGTTTGGTCTTTTTAATGGTTTCCTTTTCAACAAAAATGTTTTCTTCTTTTTAAATGAAACATGTCATTATGCAGGCTTGTCAGTGGTTTTCTGTTTGGGGGCTAGTATTTATAGCATGGGGCCATTTCAGAGGAAGCAACTCAAGTCACTTGCTTTTTTTCAAAACTACGTAACAAAGAATATCTTTGATTGACTTAAATAAGGCCTCTGATAGAGGAGGGGGAAAGATCTCTCTATGTTTATAAATGTTTCATGTATTCAGCTGTTAGATGGGCCAAATAATTGGAGCACTGGGTTGATGGGAGGACTGAGGAAATTTAATTTCTCCTGTTAACCTAAATTAAATATAGTGAATTGCTCAGGAGCAAATTTAGGCAAAAACTTATTTTTCTCATCTTGTGCTCAGTGAGCACTTAATATCTTGCCGTCTTAAGTAATATAGAAGTTGGGCATATTTTTCTTCTTTTAAACGCTACCAAGGAAAGAGTTATGGCAGTCTCGGAGGATTTCCATTTGGAATACAAAAACTCCTTTGTAAAATCCAGGACCATGATTAGGATGGTGCCATTTGGGTTTTGCCTCAGGGCATACTAACTTTCCGGTTTACTTGGATGCCAAAGCCCCTTCAGCTTGATTCTGAAATGTGTGCTTCCTTTCCTATCTATCCCTGTCCCTAGGGCACAGGAGCTACATAGCATCGCAGTCTTGGAGCATGCTTCCTTCCTGTTGAGCAGCATAGAATTTTGTTCCTCCTTTCTGACATCAACACTCCTGCCCCCCAGGGAACCTCCAGCCCTTTCCACTTTTACCTCAGTCAGCTACCTGCCCAAGGTACAAAAATTCTTAGCAGCTCTGATAAGCACTTAGGAGAGTTTTTGTGTAGGGTAACTTGGCAAGACCTAATTAAGCTAGAATACATTCAAAATAAGGATAGAATTGGAAGAAGGAAACAAGCTGACAGAACATAGGAAAAAATCTATAAAAGTTTCTATAATAAATTCTTCGTTATTGACGGCATGAGGAATGATAAAGGGAACTAAAGAAAACAAGGATTCCTCATCAATGATTCACAGAGAAGATCCATGTTGGAGGCAGCATAATTTTGAAAGCACTGAGGCATTGGATCTCAAGGTATCTGAAAGTGTAGAGGATACCAAATGCTTGGAATTCTAGATGTTATTACTTTTTAAAAAAACAATTGAAAATATCAATTTTAAAATATTAATTTTTAAAAATAAATTGAAAATATCAAAGTGTGACCTACCTAATTGTTTTTGTTTTCTCATTTTAAGAAAGAGCCCCCCATTGCACTTTGGATTGAGATATATGAGATAACTCAGGATCGTTATCATTGTTGACCACCATAAAGTATTCCCCATTGTTTCTGTCTTTCACCTATATGGCCAGAATTCTTGTGCTATATCTTTAATAATGACTCACATTTATATAGTTTACTAAGTGCTTTTCTCAAAGCAGTTGTGAGATTAATAGTAAAGACAAATGATTTGCCTTTCTATCATTATGGAGATTATAAATGGCAAAGGATTTAAATCCAGGTCTTCTGCCTCAAAATTTAGGCTTTTTAAAAAAAAATACTACAAATTATAGTGGAAATGTTTAGAGAAGGAAGAAAGGAAAGAAAGAAAGAAGTTGCACTACCTGTCTTCTAGTCCTATGTTTTAAAATTCTTTATTAACATATACTACATGAAGCCCAAGTTTTCATTAGTCTTTTGCTTGTAAAGGAATTGCACTATAGTTTATTCTACAACATTTCTTCTCTTTTGTGTTCCCTCCTCAGGTCAGTGTAAAGAGTTTATGGATTAACTTAATCATCTGCAAGATCCACAGAACCCTGGCAAAGATCGGTGTTAAAGTCCTTTTTTTGGAATGTAAGTAGTCTCCATCCTCAAAGCAATGTTCATTCCTGGAATCTTGTAAAACTCTGGCATTTTTTTGAATGCCATTTACTTCCTTAAGGCATAGTAAGTAATAACTATATTCTGTATTCCAGATATAAATTGATTCTGGCCTTGAGTAACTCCCTCTCAGATGTATGCATTGTAATTTAGACTCTCCTGTACTAAATACTTAATTTTAACATTATCTTTCTATGTATAGCATAAGTCTCTGGGAATTTAATTTATAAAATGATTCTCTCCTCCTCCCCCTCCCCAAGCTTTTTTTCTTGCTTCTAAAACCTTATTCTGTTATGGTCATTTAACAGTCATTAAAAGCCTATACTTTTGGAACTTAGCTGGAAAGTAATAAAGAGTTATTAATTATTTCAAAGGTACAGAATACTCTATGCACATTAAATATATTCCCTATACTCAAAGAATTTAACCTTATGTATAGTATAGGCCATTTTAGTACTTTAAAATATTTGTTCTGTCATCTGTAAAACAAATCTTTATTGAATGTCTACCGTGTAAAATGAGTATTTTAATACTACAATAATAATAATAATAAAAAAGTCATAACTCTTTCCCTTAAGGAATTTACAGCTCAGGAGAAGGTATACAAATACCTGTAATATAAAGTAGATTATGACAAATTCTTTGAGCAGACAAACAATATGCTACAGATATCTTCTGCTGAGTCACTGAGTATGTATGAAGTTAAAATTATGTTTGTTGATCTTATATTTAATAAGCATTCTGGATATTAACATTAAATTATGACAAACTTATTTCCAAAATGATATTTGGAATTCATGAGCCATAGCATGGTATATTGGCTAGAGAGCTAACCTTAGTCAAGAACATGGGATTTAAGCCCTGCATCTAAAACACACTGGCTATATGACCTTGAGCCAGTCACTTAATCTTTAATTTCCCCTGGCAGTTCTTTTACACTATAAATTACAGGCCAGTTGCTGATCAGCATTAGTAGAGGGAATCTTCACATTAGTAAAATCACAGGTCTACCCTTTAAAAAATAAAAAAAGAATTAGACTGATACTCAAATCTCAGAAAAAGTTAAGATACCATATAATTTACACCATTTTCTTCCCCTCTGCTCCAAATATTTAAATAATTTTTCCAACATTACTTTAAGCCAAGTTGCCTGATTGGCTTTCTCCCCCCCCCCCCAATTATGATGGTAATCCTCTCAAATCTTTGCCTTGAGCACAATTACCAGAGTTAGAAATGCATCTTATCATGTTTAAAAGGCAGTTGATGTGGGTTTAGGTAAAAGTTGGAGTAGCAGTAAAAAAGGGGTTCTGGGTCTAGTTCTTCCATGGTAGCTTGCTGGTTACATGACCATGGGCAAATCACCCAGCTTCTCTGGGGTTTAATTTCTTTATCTTTTAATGAAAGCATTAGATGAGATGATCTCTAAATTCTCTTCTAGGGCTAAGATCCCTTCCCATTCCTTCCCATCACATCCCATTCTATGTATTCCACTTCATTGTAACTTGAGTATTCAAATTAGGCAGATCTGTAGGTCAAAGGTCTAGAAAGCCTGGATATCAGTGAGTACATTATCACTGAATCCTGAACAAAGGAGAAACTGCAGAACCAACAGAAAATTAGTTTTCTCTAAGAAACATAGTGGTCTGATCTATTTAGCCTCCAGTTGACACTCGGACCATCTCTAGGCAGACTCAGATTATCCTTTGTTTTAATTAATAGTTGATTTGGCTTAGAATCGAGCAAATATAGCAAACATGGATATTCTATTTTCTTACTTGTCTAAGCTAAAAGTAAAACTTAGAAGGCCATATTACTGTGGTTTCTCATTGGATTCCTTGATAATTGTTTGATTTGCCAATATTTTTAGGTTTTTACTGGTGTAGGTAGGGAACTAGGTTGCTTGCACAAACAGCCACAAATAAGAATGAAATAATTTAACCATTCCTTTTTATTGAGAATAAATAAATATTAAGCATTTTGGACCCATTGGTTAAATAATAGTGCCAATGAGGGCAATTTTCCCAGTTCAGTATTTCTAGAGGCTATTTATCCTCATGCACAGTTCCATAGGTGGTATACCTAACTCCAGCTGGCAGTTTGGTGAAAAAAATGGACCTTAAATATAAAAAAAATTAAGCAAAAACATTTGGGTTGGTTAGGGCCACCCCTTGCCACTGGAAGGCATATTAGTTGTGTTAACAAAGGTCTGGACCCTCTTATTTTGTATGACACAGTATTATTTTTGCCCTTCATATGGCCCATAGCATGACACGGTCCCCTTGTGGATTACATAGAAGATATCAAACTATTCATAGATGGAGTATACATTTATTATACATTAGAGATTAAAAAAATAAATTAGACATGAGCTGTGGTGTCATAGAGGTTACATTCTTGTGAACCCATCTGGTCCCGGGGATTTTTTTCTTAGGAAGTTCATTGATGTGTTGTTCAATTAGAATGCCAAGTCTTAAGGGAATTACCACTTGCATTTGTACCCTGTGTGACTAGCAGTGGGTACACATGGGCTTTTAATAAGAGCTTATTAATTGATAGAATATTAAAGAATATTTTATATATATATATATATATATACATGTATATATATGGTTCCCTAAACTGTATTTCTTATCACTTAAAAATTATATCATCTGTCATAAAGCTGCCAGTATTATACAATAACAAGCTACTCTCTGAGAAATTGTTCATTTATTAATATTTCTGGGGAATTATCCTTTTTGGTACAATTTCCCCCACTATTATTGAAAGTGCAGAAAGGAGAGTTGGTTTTACAGTCAACTTAATTCTTCAAATACATAAATCATGAAGTCCATGATAGAAATAATTTTCATTCATTGACTGAGGGCTAACCATTCAGTTGTTGTAGAAGAAAACAATGAGAGTCAGAAGGGTTCAAGTGCAGGCTTTGTCACATAATAGCTATGTAGCCCAAGTTAAATTATGTAAGCATTTTTCAAAGTTCTTCAGCTGTTAAAAGAAAAAAGGCTAACTATACTTGGACTACCTTACCTCATTCAGTAATTATGAACATTAAATGAGATAATGAATAGCTTTAATAGATTTGCTTTTAGAATTGCTTTTAGATAATGCAGTACTTTAAGTATGACACGACTGAGTGTAATTTATTAACTTGATAGAGCACTGGTCTTGAATTAAAACAAAACAAAACAAAACCAAACCCTCGGTTCAAGGCCAGTCTCTGACTGATATTAGCTGTTAGACTAAGCAAGTCTTTGGACCTCTGGAAACTCTCTAAGACTATAAAGAACAGTTAAGATCTTCATCTGTGGAATCACTAGTCCTTGATGTTGATGGAGTTGACCTTATTTATAATCTTACCATCTGATTATCCCTTAAAGATAAAGTCTGAAATCTGATTTGATCAAAGCCTATTTGCTTGCCCTTTTCTAGTGGGTGAGCATCTATTGTGTATGGTCTTGCCCATATTCTGAAAAGCAGAACACTTTGAATCTTTTAGAATATTGTCACCGTAAAAACTCTTAGTATTACTGCCAAATAGCTCTTTTTTGCGTGTGATAAAATAAAAAACTAATAATAAATGTGTTTTAAGAGCTTTGCTTTGATAAATTTTTGAAAGGCCAGAGTCCTGATTGCCATATGGGCAAGGATTTCTTTATTCTACTTCTCACAGAATAAAAAGTTTTTGAGTCACTCTAAATAGATCCTCATTTGGAAAGGCTCGTTTGCCCAGATCCAGTGAGATTAAAATTCCGTGTTATTAATTTTAAATGCTAGGCCAGTTTTAGTGTTCCTACTTTTATTATATATGTATTTTCTTTGAATTTGTAAATGGCAAAGTGCTTGATGGAAATTTGGAAGTCATTTGTGGGAGTCATTGCATTCAGGCAACTGACCTGGCATTCAAAGCTATTTTCATAAAATTTTTATACTCATTAGAAGGTCAAATCTTGTAACATCAATAGTTATCTATGCCGCTAGACCAAAATAATAAAATGATTTTTGTTTAATGAACAAATGTAAAACTTGGGCTTTTTCTTGCTTTTGGTGATTTTTCTTTTGGTTTGTTTTCTGAAAACCGTTTTTCTTTCGAAGGTTTCAGTTATCTTCTTGCCCTTCTGTTGCTGTTGTCAGTGGAATGCTAAAGAACTGCATTCTTTTGTTACATTTTTGTTCAGCTAGCTTCCCAGAAGTCTACTAGTTGCCAGGATGAATGTGTTTGTTATAACATCACATTACAAAAATAGTGTGTTTGTCCTATAATATATCCTGAAAAATGAGCTCTAAGGATTTTTAAAAGAATACAACACTTAAGTTCTAATGAGTAAAAGTTTTTATTTCTTGGGATAGAGAGTTGGAAATGAACAGAAGTTGCCTTTTGTAATTCCTTGATGTAGGCCAAGAAATCTCTTAGGACATGATTGAAAGCATTTCTCTTTCCAGTTAGGTCCTTCGGTGAGTTTTATCTAATGAGCTTCTTATTTTGTTTGTGTAAAAATGAGAATATACTCTGTTCATTGAGATTAGTAGTGTATAGTCCCTGGAAAAATAACTTCTGCCTTAGGATATGAAGTTGAGCTATGAGCTATGTAGGGTTTTTTTCCCTTTTTTAAAAATTAAATTTTTTAAATTATGAAATTAAACATTAAACATTTCTAATACAAAGAAGAAAAAAATAGGATTGTTTATGAACTCATGAATCTCTGTTAAGAGATTTTAAAGTAAGCATTACATGTAACAGGATAGTAATATAATTGCTGCCTCTTTCTGAACTTTCTTCTGCATATTTTAAAATGTTCCATTGATATTTTGGGGTTTTTTCTTTTTTTGGTACATCGCATTACCACATCACAAATAAATACAGTCAAGCAAAACAAATGAACATATTGGTCATGTCCTAAAATGTGGCCTCAAGGCCGCAGGTTCCTCACTTTCTTCCAAGAGACAGGAGCCATCCTTCATCACCAGGCTTCTAAATTCACGATTGGTCACTGAATTATTCAAAGTCCTAAAGTCTTTCAACTTGTTTTTCTTTACATTATTGTGGTCATCATGGTTTTCAGATTCTGCTCACTTCGCTCTCCATCTGTTCATACAAGACTTCCTATGTTTCTCTGAAACCTTCCTATTTGTTATCTTACAAGTTGTTTAGCCATCCCCACTGTTTCTACTTCTTTTCTATAACAACAAGCATTGCTATCAGTATTTTTGTACTTATGAATCTTCTTCCTCTCTCTTTGATCTTTTTGAGATCTAGGCCTAGTAGTGGCACACGTTGGTCAAAGCATGCTTTATTGAGTTTTGGAGTACTGTTCCAAATTGCTTTCCAGAAATTATTTAGTCCTATCCCTTCATTTTTGTTTTATTATTATTTTTTTAGGCAGTTGGGGTCAAGTGACTTGCCCAGGGTCACACCAGCTAGTAAGTGTGAAGTGTTTGGTCTGAGGCCGATTTGAACTCAGGTCCTCCTGACTTCAGGGCCAGTGCTCTATCCACTGTACCACCTAGCTACCCCTCTATCCCCTCATTTTAAAGGGTAGAATACTGAGAGGTCCAACTAGGTTAAAGTGATTTTTCCAGAACTATACAGCTAGTTAATTTTTATTGATCCTCATCCTAAATATAAACAAAATTTAAATTCTTATATTTATTTGTCCCAGCCCTATTATTATTTAGCTTATGCTACTGTTTGTTACTCCCTCATCTTTATAGAGTGTGGATTGTTAACTAACATTTTAATTAACATGTGGCTAGTTTAAACAGCTATATATGATGCCAGCCTTTTTTATAGTATTATTATGGGTGACTTTTGGATCATTTTAGTTGATGTAAAGTTCTAAATATTGAAATATTTTTGTGCTTGTAATAGAAGACTAAAGTTTTTTGGATAGTCCCAAAAGCCTAACTGATAGCAAATTATAAATGCAAAGCACTTCATGTCTTAGGGAGAGTTTGGTCCCCTTCCCCTGCTTCTCCTTGTAATCAAAGAGAGTAAAGGATAATTAACAGATGTAATAACAAAGTATAGTCCCATTTTGGCACTTCATGTACTAATAATATAATTAATAAATAATAAATTGATATATTAAACCAAGTGCTAAAATGGGATTATGCTTTATCTCATACAAAGAGTGGACTTTCCCAGATCAAATTTAAGAGAAACTATGCCTGGCAGTTGAAAGTCAAGCTATGAAGAGGAAATCCAGCCACCTGTTGAGCTGAGATGTTGTACCAGTGTGAGGCTTCTCAATGAGAACAAGGACACTGGCACTTTGCGTTTTGCAAAGTGCTTTCTTTCAACTACTTCCTTTGATCTTCACTCACAACAATCCTGTGGGGCAGATACAATTTCACCCTGTTCTACAGATGAGGAAGCTGAGAATGAGAGAGGTTTAATGGCTTGTTCTATATCACACAGCCAGGAAGTGACTGAGGCAGAATATGGACTTGGGTTTTCATGACTCCAAGTTAAGTGTGCTCTCCTTTACTCTACTTAACTGTCTCATTAAGAGGCTCTAAATGGAATTAGCCAAGGTCTGACTCTTCAGGAGCCCAGGTCAAGTAGCATGAACTTTGTCAAGTTGAACTTCTTCAGTGCAAGGACCTTGAAGGCCATCTCTCAGTGTCCATATGGTTAAGAGCAGTATTAAGAGAATTGCCAGCATTCTGGTCATACAATTCTGCTAAGATGAACACTTGAATCTTGAGAGACTGGTTGACTCCTGTTAAGCAGGTTTATACAAGGCTGCTAAATATGTCAGAAATGCAACCAAATACCAGGGCTCCTGTTGTAGTTTGGCAATGTGTTTGAATTTTGCCAATTTGAAATGTGCTAATTTAATTTGCCTTTGTAATGAATTGAGTATACAAGAGGATGACATTTAAAACTCCTTCATCTCCTTACAATTTTAATTTTGTTAATCATGACTTTAGTTATGGAATGAATGAATAAAGCATTTATTAAGTGCTTCCTATGTGCCAAGCACTGTACTAAATGGTAGGGATACAAATTGAAAAGCAAGACAGTCTCTGCTTTCAAGGTACATTCTGATGGTGGATGTAACAAATACGAGAGGTTTCAGCTTCATGTAAGATAAAAAGATCCTCTGACACTTAGGGAACAGAGGCACAACAAATGGCAATGCATATTCTTTAATGTCATTTCTACTGATAATCATATCCATTTTGGTGTCAAACCATTCAACATCACCATTGTTCTGTAGTGTACTAGGAATGTTAGCTATAGCAATAAGAGAAGAAAAATAAATTGAAGGAACGAAAATATGCAATGAGGAAACAAAACTGTCACTCTTTGCAGATGACGTGATGGTGTACTTTGAGAATCAACGGTTGCAGGATATAAAATGATATGGATCACTAGTATTTCTATGTATTACCAACAAAAGCCAGGAGTAAGAGATAGAAAGAGAAATTCCAATTAAAATAACTGTAGACAGCAGAAAATACTTGGGACTCTACCTGCCAGGAACTATATGAACGCAATTACAAAATACTTTTCACACAAATAAAGTTAGATCTAAACAGTTGGAAAAATATCAATTACTTCTGGATAGGCTGAGCCAATATTATAAAAATGACAATTCTGCCTAAACTAATTTATTTATTCAGTGCCATACCATCAAACTACCAAATAATTATCTCATAGATAATGCTATTTTATAAAGCTAGAAAAAAATAACAAAATTCATCTAGAAGAACAAAAGGTTAAGAATATCAAGGGAATTAATGGAAAAAAAATACAAAAGAAGATGGCCTAGAAGTATTAGATCTCAAACTTTGTTATGAAGCAGCAATCATTAAAACTATCTGGTACTGGCTAAGAAACAGAGTGGTGGATCAGTGGAATAGACAGAGTGACCATAGTAACCTACTGTTTTATAAAAACAAAGACCCCAGCTTTTGTGACAAGAACTCACTATTTGTCAAAAACTGTTGGGAAAATTTGAGAACAATACGGCATAAAGTAGGTATAGACCAAGATACGGTCAAAATGAATACATGATTTAGGCATAAAAGATGATACCATAAACAAATTATGAGAGCAAGGAATAGTTTTCTTGTCAGATCTATGGAAAAGGGAAGAACTGATGACCAAATGAGAGCCAGAGAGCATTGAAAAATGTAAAAAAGATAATTTTTATTATATTGAATTTAAAAGGTTTTGCACAAACAAAAGCAATGCAGCTGAGATTAGAAGGAAAGCAGAAAGCTGCGAACCAACTTTTACAGCAAATGTCTCTGATAAAGGCTTCATTTGTCAAATTTATAAGAATACAAGCCATTTACCAAATGATAAATGGTCAAAGAATATGAACAGTTTTCAGATAAAGAAATTAAAGGTATCTATAGTCATAAGAAAAAATGCTCTAAATCACTATTGATTAGAGAAATACAAATTAAAATAACTTCACATCTATCAGATTGGCTAATACAACAGAAAAGGAAATTGATAAATGTTGGAGAGGAAGTGGGAAGAAGTTGGAGAGGAATGGGAAAAATTGGACGCTAATTCACTGTTAGCTATTACAAAGTTCAGGCTTTGGGTCAGTAGATTTTGGAGTGTCCTGGGGTTGGACTCTCCTTTCTCTCTATGAGCGATGTCTTTTTGGGACTTGCAGTTTTGTGCCCTCGGTGGCCTTGTTTTGGGACTACTCCCTTGCTGAGAGTGAGGAGGAAGTGACTTGTTCCCTTAACCATCGGAAGAAACCGGCTTATGTTTAAACAGCACAGCGACTGTATACCTGGGGAAGGTGGAGGCTGGTCATCCTCCCTCTTTCCTGTGGGTAGCAAAGAAGATTCTCCAGAGCTTGCTCTGTTATTCTCATAGCTTGCTGTCTCCTTCCTGTACTGCCAAGTCTCCTTCTGCCAAGGAAATGAGGGGTTACGCCAACTAACATGGAAAAGAATGACTTTCCTCTTGCCTCATTAGAGAGGAGGAAATTTACATAGTGTTTGGTCCATCATTTTAATATTTAATCCCGTAAGAATTGCCTAGTTCATATTTATTTCCCTGTGATTTTCCCTCTACTCCCCGTTGTCTTCATACTCTCTTCTACTTTGAAGGATAATCTTTTTCCTTCAAAAAAACTTTCCTACCATCCCAAACTGCTTCAGCAGTTCTAGTATGTTCTATCTAAGGCTCAGTTTTGGGCTTTCCCACAGCATCCCTTCATTTTGTCCTCTCCACCTCCCTCCCTTCCTCTTGCTTGGTAGTCTTTTGGAAAGTGATTTCCCAATGCAACATCCACAGAGTATTATGTATACTTAACCTCTTTTGTTGCTCTGAGCTGGTACTCCTGTGGCATGGCTGGTTGTATATCTTCTGCCAGTTGAACAGTTAGAAAGTTTGGAGGCATATTCTCATCTTGGATGGACTTAGTGGTGGTTTTAGTGGTTTCTAGAAGGGAAACTGTGGTGATCTGGGAATCTTGTTTTGGAAGTGATCCAGGGATAAGACTATCTGTTTCCAGCTTTTGAGCAAAACAGTCTAGCTACCCTGTAGTCGGTGTGTATTTTGTTCTCGCTTCATGACTGCTTCATGACTGCCCAGTTATTTTCTCTGTCTGCTTGGTCAGGGCCCAGATCAATATCCCATGCTAGGGTTGGAAAAACTGTGGAAAATTGTTCTGGGCTCGTCTGAACTTGGCTATGTCTTCCTTTGGTCTCCCTGTGCTTTTGGTTAGCCATGCTCCTTTGTCTGGGTGGGAGGAAATGGATGGAATCACCCTGTGAGAGACTGTTCCTGTGAAGGAAAATAGCCTACAGAGAGGCTATTGGACTCGGAGCTGCTAATCTCTGTGTCTGTGCCATCACTCTGGGAGGACATAGTGTTTAAAGGGTCAGAGCCTGGGTCTGGTCTTTCAGATCTTCCTCATCTGAAGAAACAGCAGAAAGTTGCTGATACTTTGCTCCTATTCTTGAGTGATCATCCAATTCTCATGCTTCCCATGACCGAGTTTGTCCTTGCAGGCAAAGGAGGCTACTGAGTGTGTGACAGCCCTTCTTCCTATATGGGAAACCACATCAGGAACAGAAACTGTTGGATCTGAGACTCCAAAAAAGAGCTCCCAAGTCCAACTGTCACAGGGCTAAGTTCTGGGACTGTTGGTTACCATGGCAACCCAAGGAAGCAAGAACTGTGGTGCTGTTGAGCTATGAAAAACTGGTAGAAGGACATAGCATCGATTATTTTGTGTCTAGCAGTACTGTCCCTATACCATCCCAGACGATCTTCACTAGTCAGTCTCTTCCTTTCATTTTGAAGAGAGAGCTGTTTCATTTACCAGCGGGGAAGGAAATGGCAGGTTTTGCTTAAAAAATTCTAAGACCCTTCAATTTAAATGAATAAATTGGACTTATTTATTGAATCCAGATTGCCTCTTTGCAACCTGAATGAGTTAAGTTTAGGAAAAATAAGAAATGCCTTACTGTCAGAATTATGTTGCTTCATGTTTTAAGTTCAGAGTGGACATAAAATGTGCTATTTTTTTCTTCTGTATATTTAAAGCATTTTATTGTGTGTGCGCCTATCACTATACACTGACACATTTGTTATTCAGTTGTTTTTAACTCTTTGTGATCTGATTTGGGGTTGCCATTTCCTTCTCCAGCCCATTTTACAGATGAGGAAACTTGCACAGAGTCACACAGCTAATAAGTATCTGAGGCCAGATTTGAACTCAGGAAGATGAATCTTCCTTACCAGCACCCAACCCTAACTGCCCCAGTAACTCATCCCTTCCAAGAAATAAGTATAATCAAGTAAAACAAATCAACACATTGACTCAGAACTTGTTCTAGGTATCTTTCATCATCAGGCTTCTGAAGTAGTGATTGATTACTGTTTTAATGAAAGTTAGAAGATTTTTGCTTGTTGCTAGGAACACTTTTGTGAGATAGATAACTTTGGGCATTTTATCACCCAGTTTATAGGTGAGGAAAATGAGGCCCAGTGATGTGCTAAATTTGAACCCATTTTCTGCTGAGTCTTTGCATTATTTATAATCATTTAATTGAAATCATTCAGCAGGAGAGTGAATTGGTGGTTAGTGTTCCTTCCTCTCATGCTGAAGACCGAATTGTTTTCACTTGGTGGTAGGAAGTGGCTAATTTTGGTCTTGTGTCCATTACCAGGAACATGTGGGAATAATGTGGCTATGAGTTCAACTTAGATCTACAACAAAAGATTCTTACTGAAATTCAAGTGAGTTGAGTTTGGGGAAAATGAGAAATGCTATCAGGTAAACATTGAAATTGTGATGGGTAAGACCGCTTGCTGTATTGGAAAACAAAAAAAAAGCAAAGTTAATAAAATTAAATTCTGGTTCTCTCTTACGATCTTGTGACAAAGCACTTCTAAACGAAAAATGCTGCTTGAAAACATCAAACACCAAAAAAGTTGCCTTGGTTTGTGATGAGGTTACTGATATAATTTGGATATGTTGCTTGAAGGTTTAGTTGCCCATGAACTTGTCCCACCATTCACTAAAACTTCCAATTTCAAAAGTGGCTACATAAATGGCATGTTGCTTTGTACAAATATTATGTGGTTAAGTGAATGTGTCTCTGCTCCAGAGTAGGGGGATGAAGGCTTCTTGTCCCACTCCCACTTTTAAAAGCATCAGAAAAATTTCAATTTTTTTCAACCCTCAGATTCATAAGTCAGTTTCATGTAAGTGGCAGTGAGGTGGTGCAGTGCAAGGACTGGAGTCAGCAGGACTCATTTTCCCAAGTTAAATTTTTGCGCCTGTTTGCCTAGTTTCCTCATTTGGGAAATTGCAAGTGAATCAATCTTTGCCAGGAAAGCTCCAAACGAGGTCATGAAGAGTGAACATGGAAGAGCATAAATAAGTCCTGATATCATGTGAACCAAAGTGAAATTGGGCCATATCTCAAAATCGATGGATTCATAGATTCAATTCGGGAAGAAATCGGCAGTTTCTTACTTTGAATTATTCCTTTTCTTGTGTCACTGAAAAGTAAAAAGCTTATTTTGATTTTTAATGACAAAGTCATCAAGAATTGTAGGTAAAGGAGTCCTAAAATAGGGCCTAAAGTGTTTCTTTTGACATTCATAATCCTGTAGACTTTAAGATATATTCTTTTGGATTTCTGTGAAGAGAAGCTATGGGGGTTAATAAAACCAAAAAAACCCCTAACCCTTACAGAAAACATTTTTCTACCCAAATAATCCTTAAGAAGACTGCTGTTTTATTTTCTCCCCCCAGCAGCTCCCTTGAACCTCAAGCTGTAAATGTAACATTTCAGTTCTGGGGATACAGAAAAAAAAATTAAACAGTCCCTGCATTCAAGAAGCTCACAATCTTCAGTAATAGATATTTCTTCTTTGATCCTCACAACTTTGGGAGTTTTCCTCATTTTACAGATGGGAAACTGAGGCAGAACAGGTGATTTCAACATCCAAAAAGGATCCTGTAATACTTTGCCATTATTTTCCCAAGTGTTTTATGAAGCCAGGGGAGTTTATGAATTACTTTTCAAACTGTTTGAAGTTGTGAACATCAAAAGTAATTGTCTTCACAAACCTGTTGTCTTTAAATATTTATGACAATAAAATCCATCCTTCTGATTTTGTGAGTTTGCCCATTAGAACTTCACGCATCATTCTTACGCTTTTTAATTGATAACTTTGTATGTGAAAAAGAAACTATGAGTATCCCTAAACATACCTTGTTAAATTCTTTATCCAACCCTGGAAGGAAGCCTGTCATGTAGGCCTGGGGAATGATTTTAGCTTTTCTTGGTTTGTGCGCTTCTGCATCATGATTCTGATCAGTGTCAGTTCAATGTGTTACCATTTCATTTGCTACCTCTAGCTGTCTTGAACTTGATCCTAATTTGTGACTGAGGGGTAGTAATACCTCCACCTACGTTTCAGGTTGCAGCTTCCAGCAAGACCCCAGCCATCGCGAGCTCCATCACAGAACATCTCTATTAGGTCATCTTTTTGAGGCCTCACCTGCCTGTCTCTTCTTTCCTTGGTTTATTCACGTAGCATATTTAGCATATTCTTACCCCCCCCTTGTACTAATGATTCTGAAACTTCCATTCTTCTTTATCTCACTCCCACGCCCCACTCCAGATCTGCCTGCTTCTTCCTCTGTGCCCTCATCATTATCACATTTCCTTTCATCAAACTTTTTCACTCTTTACATTTTCTAGCATTCACAGAGACCTGGCTCCATTATTCCTCACTGCCATTTTCAGTCTCCCTTCCACTATCAAGATTCTCACTTCCTGGTAACAATTATCAGGCTAGTTCCTCACTTCAATGTCACACTTCTTTCCAACCCAATTGCTTCCTTCATTGATGATATCTTGTCTTAAAAAGTGGGCCACAGCCAGATTTTGGTGTTTTAATTGGATTATCTCTTCAAAAACTCCATCGAGAAGGCTGGGTTGATGGTGATAACCCCATTTTGCAGATTAAAAAACTGAGCCTAAAGGACTTTTCTGAGTACATGTCATGGCTCTGCCATGACTAGAACCCATGTCTTCCTGAACTGAGGTTCAGTTAGTCAACAAACAACTGCTATGGCCAGACATTGTCCTAACTGTTAGAAATACAAAAAAGGCCCTATCAGGAGCAGACAGCATGGAAACAGTGAGCGAAGATAATGGAAGATTGAAAAAAAGCTTTTGGGGGCAGGGGTTGGGAGGCAGGCAGTTGGGGTTAAATGACTTGCTCACAGTCACACTGGCTAGTTAAGTATCTGAGGCCATATTTAAACTCGGATCCTCCTGAATCCACTGTGCCACCTAGCTACCCAGAGAAAGGTCGGACTTTGGCTGTGACTTGAAGGAGCCAGGCAAAACAGGAAGCAGATATGAGAAGAGAAAATTCCATGCATGGGGAGAAAAGCCAGTAAAACTGCTTGGAGTCAGGAGATGGAGAATTATGTTTGAGAAACAGCCAAGCTTCACTGCATCACAGAATATGTAGAGAAGAAAAGTAGGAAAACTCCAGTTTATGAAGGAAGAGTTAAGGTAGTGAAACCAACCAGCAGATTATTGCAGCGTGAGATAATAAGGGCTGGAACCAGGATGGTAGCAGTGCCAGAGGACATAAGAGGGAATGAAGAATTTAAGATGACTCCAGAGGACACTTTCTTTTTTATTTTGCAGGATTTATCCTGTTGCCTATCCCTTACAATGCATAGCAAATTATCTTTCCTGTCTCTGATGTCATGTTTTGTTGCACTCTTGTGTACTCCTCCTATGCAGTGGCCAAATTTTATTCTATATTCTTGAATTGTATGTAAGCTTCTTGAGGGCAAGCAATTATTTATTCATGGGATCCTGGAAGGGTCTTTAAAAGGTCAGTTCACTAAATTAGGACCACTAACTGCACTTATTGGAATAAGTGATTCCCAAGTTTAAAGAGTTTGAAATTTTGAAAATGACACATTGACGTGAAAGTTTCTTCTCCCCATTTCAGTTCCTTCATTTGGCAGCACATGCTTCCAAGTCAGTAATTACATTGTAGTGCTGTAACCCAGGCTCAAAACTTAAAGCACGGGCAGCAATTCTGAGGGTCTGGGGAGGTTCTAGCACTCTCCTAAGAAGCAAAGGGAGGATCCAGCTATAGCAGAGAAGTAGTATTTGGAAGAGTCATCAAGTTCGTAGGCATCTCAAAGCAGAAGACACAACTAGAGGGAAGCCCCAAGAAAAGGTGTTTACCAAACTTCCCCTCTCAGTTTTCTGTCCCTGTCCATCTGCTGCTTCATTACCCAAATGTTTCCAGTACAGTGAATTTTCCCTCAACCACAAAAAGGCCATAGGTCTCTCATACAGGAAGATATTAAATGTAAAGTTAGGCGGAGATTCCAGTCTGTTAGGAATTGTTCTGAGTGATTGTGACTGAACTCATAATTTTTCAATCTGAACAAACTCCCCAAAGCTGAAGAGGACCGTTTTCTAGATGCTTTTATAAACATTCCATAAACTAAACCGTCTTAGTTGTGATTTCATTTTTGATGCCTATTATCAAGTCCTTTAAAGTTTTAAGTGTGCCATTTTTTAATGTCCCCCAAGGTTCCATCATATTGCTCCCACCTAGGCTGAAAATAAACAAGTAACAGAGGCAGAATCCAAACTTGAGGTCACCTGCCTTAAATTCAGCACTTCCCATTCCACTACACGTGAGTGAAAGCTGTCTCCAGGTTATTGTTTGGACCATATGCATAGGTCAGGATTGGGAAATCTTTTTTTCCCTGTCAAGGGGGAAAACAAATCAGTCGTGGCTTCAGTAGCTGTTAAAGAAAAAAGAAATACCATATAGGGTTAGAAACATTTGAACTGTCAATTTGACCTCTTGAACTGGATGTACTGAATTCATTTTCATTTCCCCTAAACCCTTCTGTCTTCCAAACTTACTGTCAAGGGCACCACTGTCCTCGAAGCCATTTGGGCTTGTAACCTAGATACCATCTCTTTCACCCGGCCCCCACATTCCCCATACCTTATATGAAATATTTTGCCAATGTAACATTTTTTGCATATTCCCCTTTATCTTCTCTGATACTGCCACCACCAAGCTCTCATCATCTCACACCCAGTGTATTGGCATTAAGGTTGGTCTCCCTACCTTAAGTCTCTCCCAACTCTGGTTCATTCTGTTTAGTTGTGAAATTAAGCTTGCTAGAAACACATCTGAATGTTACCCACCTACTCACATTCAAAAAATTCCAGTGGTTCTACTCTGCTGTCGAAGTGAACTTTCTGAATTGCAGGTTCTTCCCACCTATGTCCCTCCCACCCCTACTCTGTAAACTCCAATGGCTCCCTGTCACCTCCAGATCAAGTAAAAAAATTTGTCAATCCACACCTCCACTTACCCACCCCTTCCTCTTACTGTGCTTTACATTTCTTGATATATACTTTTTAATCCAGTGGCAGTGGCCTTGTTGTTGTTCCTCCAACAAGATACCATATCTCCTGATTTCAGGAATTTTCACTGGTTGTACTCCATGCTTGGAATATTCGCCATTCTTATCTCTGCCTCCCTTCTAATTCTAATACCTTCATTCTGTGTTAATCACTTCCAGTTTATCCTATAGGTATTTTGTTTTGTTTATAGTTACTTGCATGTTTTTTACCCCATTAGATTATGTGGTCTTTGAGAAGGAGGACTATCTTTCACCTTCTATGTATCCCCAGTACTTAGACTAGGTTTCTAGAAGGTGTCTAGAAAGTATTTGAGAGTTTGGTATAGTGGATTGATCTTGGAGTCAGCAGAACATGGGGTGGAACTTCCTCTCAAACACAGCCATATGCCACTAGACAAGTTATATATAATAACCTCTTTCAGCTTGTTTTCATATGTATAAAATGGGGAAGATCATAGCACCTTAGTTTAAAACTGCTGAGAGTTTTGAGATATCCTTTAAATGTAGATGGTTTGCAAACTTTTTAGAGTACTATGTAAATAAATTTACTAAAAAGAACATACTCGTGATAGCATATAATCTAGTTTCAGGGTTTTTAGTTTTAAACATCAGTTTTTAAAAATTTTGCGTTCCAAATTTTCTCCTTCCCTCACCCATTAAGAAGGCAAGCAATGTGATACATATTACCCATGTGAAGTCATGCAGCTAATATTTCCATATTAGTCATGTTGTAAAAAAACAAGGAAATTAAAGTGGGAAAAAAAATAGTAGTATTCAGTCATGTCTGACTCTGTGACCCCTTTTGGTGTTTTCTTGTCAAAGATACCAAAGCGGTTTGCCATATCATTATTCATTTCAGATGAGGAAACTGAGGCAATCAGAGTTCCAGGATCACACAGTAAGTTTCTGAGGCCAGGTTTGAACTCTGGAAGAATCTTCCTTATCTACTGCCACCACCTAGGGTTTCTCAAATGCTAAAAATATTTTTATTTATGTCTGTATCTAATCTATTCCACTCAGCCACTCTATTTTTTAGCCAAGACTATACTGCTTTGTAATGTAGTTTGAAATCTGGTACTGTTAGGCTGCCCTCCATGGATTGCCTTGATATTCTTGAGCTTTGTTCTTTTCAGATTAGTTGTCGTTTTTTTCTAATTCTATAAGATAAGTCTTTGGTAATTTGATTTTTATGGCACTGAATAATTAATTTAGGTATATGTTTTTATTATATGACTCAGCCTACCCATGAGTAACTAATTATTTCTTCAATCATTTATATTTGTCTTTCTGTGAAGTCTTTTGTAATTTATAGTTTAGTTTATATAGTTCCTAGGTGTCTCTTGGCAGATAAGACTCCCAAGGAATTTGTAAGTTATTTTAAATGTAATTTCACTTTGTCTCTTCTTGCTGGGTTTTATGTAGAAATGCTGATGATTTATGGGTAATTATTTTATTGGGTATTTATTTTATGTCGTGCAACTTTGCTAGTTGTTAATTGTTTCAACTAGTATTTTAATTGATTGTTTGGGGTTTTACTTGTTTCCCATTCTTATTCTTGAATTTGTCTTATAAATATAGGTCATGTTGTAATATATAAAATACAGTATATTGTATATTATATTGTGTATTATATATAGCTAGAATTTCCAATACAATATTAAAAATGGACATTCTTGCTTCAACCCTGACCTTGTTGGGAAGGCTTCTAGGTAATGCTTAATGTTTTAGATAGTATTTATCATTTTAAGAAACTTTTAATTCACGTTTTTTGTAGAATTTTAAAATAGGAATTGATGTTGTATTTTGTCAAATGCCTTTTCTGCATTTATTGACACAAATGATTCTTGTTATCAATATCAATAATATCAGTTAAGCTGATAGCATTCCTAACCAGCCCTGCATTCCTGGCATAAATCCCACCTGGTGCTAATGTATGAACTTTGTGATATATTGCTGTGATCTCCTTGCTAGTATTTTATTTAAAATTTTTCATTATTTAAAATTATTTAAATTATTATTTAAAATATTCATTAGGGAAATTGGTCTATAGTTTCCTTTGGTTTTGTTCTTCCTGGTCTATGTATCAAAATCATATTGGTATTGTAAAAGGAATTTGGTAAGACTCCTTTGCCTGTTTTTCAAATAGTTTGTATAGTATTGGAATTTCCCTTTAATTTTTAGTTGAATTGAAGTTCATCTGGTCCTGGGAATTTGTTTCTTAGGGAATATATTATTTGATTTCTTTTTCTAAGACATGGTTATTTAATTGTTTCCTCTTCTGTTAATGTGGGATTTCATGTTTTTTTGTAAATATTCACCAGTTTCACTTAGATTTATTGGCATATAATTGGGCAAATTAGCTCCTTACAGTTGCTTTAATTGGTGATATATTATATACCGTTTTCATTTTTGATGCTGGTAATTTTTCTTTTTTAAATCAAGTTAACCAATATCTATTTTGTTGACTTTTAAAAATACAATCAGCTTTTAATTTTATTTTCAAAGTTTTTTTTCTTTTACTTTCATTAATCTCCTTTAGTTTTTAAAATTGTTATTTTGGTGTTTAAGTGGGGATTTTTAATTTGTTCTTTTTCTACCTTTTTTTTAAACCTGTATGCTCAATTCATTGATCTGCTTTTTCTCTTATTGATTGTAAGTTTTTAGATATATAAAATTTCTCCAAAGTACTGCTTTGCCTGCATCCCACAAATTGTTATGTTATCACACTGTTGTCACTATCTTTAAGGAAATTATTGGTGGTTTCTGTGATGTTTTTTGACCCACTTATTCTTTATAATTACATTTAGTTTCTAGCTAATTTTTAATTTATTCTTCCATAGCACTTCATTGAATTTATTGCATTAAAGGGTGCACCTAATATTTCTGCTTTTCTGCATTTGTTTTATGACATTTTTATGCCCGTGGTTACTTTTTTTTGAAGGGGCCGTGTACAGCTGTGAAAAAGGTATGCTTCCTCCTATTGCCATTCAGTTTTTTCCAGAGGTCCATCATATCTAACTCTGCTTAAATCCTACTTATCTCCCTAAATTTAGTTCTGAGAGGGACAAATTGAGGTTTTTTACTAGTATAGTTCAGTTTGAAAACATGTTAACTTGGAGCTGTGCACTTTTTTTTTTTAAGGACTTGATGTCCATGCACATCATCAAAAATTACCTTCCAGCTATGTCTGATAGTTTAGTTTTGGGATGATTAAATGGTACCTCACTGAAGTGGCAGATTAACAGAGCATTGTTTTTGAATCCCTGAATTTTTTGCTCTTCTACTTTTTCCCCACATAAGCTACAGATGTCCAACCTGGAACATTCTGCATTTCATTCTTATCCCTTCTTGCTGGATTTTCCTCAGTTCTCATTCTTATTTTTGAATTTCTTCTTGTCTTATTGCTATAGCTAGCATTTATTTATTTATTTGTTTATTTATTTTTGGCTAGGCAATAGGGTTAAGTGACTTGCCCAGGGTCACACAGCTAGCAAGTATCTGAGACTGGTTATGAACTCAAAAGTCTTTCTGACTCCAGTTCAAGTACTCTCTATACACTGCGTCACCTAAAATGTAAGCCCTTCTGTGGTGGGGGCTATTTAGTTTTTTACTTTCTTCTGGCTAGTCCCTGGCACACAGTGGGTCCTTCAAAAGTGTTTGTTGATTTATTGTGCTTTTACCATGAGGGTTTTTGGATCTTAGTTTCCTCTTCTGTAAAAATGAGGGAGTAGATGATCTCTGAATCTGTGATCCTATGAAGTAATGGTTGCTCAATAGAGAAAGCAACTAAGCAGAGAATAAACAAAGGCAGAGACAAAAATCAGTAATAGCAGGTAGTAAAATGTCCTGACATGGATGAGCTTGGATTCTCACTGGCCCTTCCCTTCCCACCCCCACTCATTTTCTGTTCTTTTGTGTTTCATCCTGTAGTCCTAGGTATCATATTTTTAAATCTAGAAGTACCCTTAGACATTATCTAGTGTGACTCTTTGATTTTTCAAATGAGGAAAAATGGAGTCTAGAGGTATTTAAAATATTTGCTCAAGGTCACACAAGGCATGTGGCAAAACTGGGATTTAAGCCTAGGACCTCTGATGCAGATATTTTAACCATATATCATCCATATAGCAAAGGTTACATTTGCATTTTTATCATAGGCTCTTCTTGGCTCATATATTTGTTTTCAAGAAAAAAAGAGCCAGTTGTGCCCATGGCATACCTCATTCAGCTTTTTTTACCTAGGTCTGGCTTAGGGCAGATCCATTCAATCTATTTTTTGCAGGAGAGAAATTAGAATTGTTCTGCTTGATTGTAAAGTGGTCAGGGTTCAGACTAGTGCAAATTAAATGAGGTCAAGCTTTGGATCAACATTGGAAAAACATTTTAGCAATTAGATCTGTCCAAAAAAAGGAATGGGATGCCTCAGGAGGGAGTGAATTCCCTATCATTAGAAGTATTTGGCAGGAGCTAAATGACCACTTGTTGCAGATGCCAGAGATGAGATTCATAATTGTAATAATAGTTTGTATTCATGTAGTGTTTTGAGATTCTCAAAACACCTTGTAGATAGGATAGGGATTCTGAGTTCTCTGTAAACGTTAAGGTCTTTGATTCTGTCACTGCAAAGTCTTTAGATATTCCTTGACGTATCTGTATTGGTCCAGATTAGGGCCAAAAATTGTCTGCCTAATAGAAACTATGTTATGGCCTCTTCTTAGCTTTGAGTAAATATCCAGTACAGTGTTGGGCACATAGTGGGTACCCAGTAAAAGTTGTTGATTGACTGGACAAGGATGTTAGTAATAATTGAGAATACACACATTTAGAAAGAAGCATTGGAGGTGACTGATATTCATTGGCATTAGGTATGTTGTCTCCATGATATGATGAAACTCAGATAAAACAGAACTTTTGCAACCTAAAAAGAATTTGAATTTACCTGTGAGGCAAAAGATAGCAAAAAGTGCTTTAAGATCTGAGACTGTTTCTGCTTTTTTTTGCCTTTTTTTTTAATTCTTGCCCTCAAACTGTCTCTTATAGCCATTTAAAACTCACTTTGTCTTTTGGGTTCTTTCTTGTCCTGTTATGTAAGATGCTTTTTAATAACTGCTTGGTGCTGACTTGAAAATATGCCTTTTCTTTGTGTGTGTGTTTTTTGTTTTGTTTTCTGTGTCTATGATAGTGATCCCAGGAAATATTTTAGACTATGGAACAATGTGTTGCTAGTTATAAAAATAGTTTGATATTTGGTAATGATTTTGTTGTGTTCCTTTTTTACCTGACATCCTATGTTTTAGTTCTGTAAATTCTACAGTGAATAATAAGGATTTGTGTGATCAATTTTGTAGATAACATAGGACTGGGAAGCTAAAAAATGTTCCCTAACAAAATCAATATTTTAAATTATCATGAGACAGCAAACTAACTGGAAACTGACAAGATGAAACTTAGTAGTAATAAATTAGGGTTAGGAAATCAATTTTACAAGTAGAAGGAGGAAACCTTTTGGCTCCAAATCTAGGTGATCTTTGCACACCTATGAGTGGACTGTGTTCCTCCAGAGATTACATGAAAGGTACATTTTGACCCAGCACAAGAAGGAACTTTCTAACAATTACAGCTGCAGTTATGGGTTATACTACCTTATTAGGTAGGGAGTTTCCCTTCATTGGAGATTATTCAAGTGGAGATTTGGATGACTGCCTGTCAGGGATACCATAGAAGGAATCCCTGGTTAGTGTAGAGGGAAAACTTGCAATTCTAAAGATCCTGATTAGTAAATGATTAATAGTCTTAAAATGGATTTGTATAGCTGACAGTTGGCTTATCTTATGAGGGAATTCCTTTATTAGCCTAGGGCTTTTTAAAAAAATTGATAGCTGCTAACTATTGCCTGTGTAATTTCCCTTCCCTGTCAGGGAATTGTAATTGGGTATTGCAAAATTATCTTCATGATTTTCCAAACTTTATGCATATTCCTCCTATTTTCTTTCCTTTCTACCACCATGGCCAGATCACTTCAAAGCACTACTCTTGCTAGGTGCTGTATTCAGTGAAAGTATTTATTATTTTTATTATTTGTTATAAATAACTTGGGGCTTTTTGTAACAACACTTTGGGTTTTTGTTTTTTGGCTAAGCAATAGGGTTAAGTGACTTACGTGGTCATGCAGGTCATGCAGCTAGTGTCAAGTGTCTGAGGCTGGATTTGAACTCAGGCCCTCCTGACTCCAGGGCCAGTGCTCTAGTCACTGCACTATACTTTGTTTTCTGTTGGGGCTTAAGGTTTGTTGAAATTAAGGAACTTCAATTAGAAAACTGTTGATAGAACCCTAGATAGAGCTGGCCAAGACTGTGGAGGCTATCTAGTCAAAACTCCTTTCACAGATAAGGAAACTGAGGCTTTTGTATCTAATTATGTCATTCCCTTACCCCTCTGATGACATCTTACTTGAAGGCTAAAAAGGTTGAGGGGTAGAAGGGGAGATAAGCCCCTACAAAGTCTTCTGATAAAGATGTGCTTTGAGGGGGCAGCGAGGTGGCACAGTAGATAGAGCTCTGGCCTTATAGTCAGGAGGACCCGAGTCCAAATGCGGCCTCATTTGACACTTACTTAGATGTGTGACCCTGGGCCAAAAAGAAAAAAAAAAAGAGTATGCCTTGTATTTAGAAAATGCTTCATAAATGCAATTTGAATTGACTTGATGGTATGAATTGTTTGTCTAGAATAACCAATCAAACATTATGCCCATAAGTCTGAAATCTGGTAAGAATCTGGGGCTGGCATTAGATTATATGTAGACTAATTGAGTATAATGTTGATTTCAATTTATTACTTTTAAAAGGTCCATCAGCCATCATATTGCTTTGGTTTCTATTGAAATGTCCCTGACTGTGAGCTCAGCATGGTGTCTTGCACATGGTAGATCCTCAAAATCCTTTTCTAATGTCTTTTTTTACAAAAAATTATAACTAAATTATATTAACTAAGCAACTTAATGTATTTTTCAAAAGAGAAATTATTAACCTAATGGACAATTCTACCATTCCAAAATCTTTTAATCTTCTATATCATAATAACCGCCTAATTTCCCCACTTCAATTTCTCTCCCAGTGAAGTTTTTGATATAGCTATCAAGTGAATATTTTGAGTTTCAGAGGGATTGGACCTGTGATTTCACTGGCAGAGGAAACTTCTAGGTAAGGAAACTCCCTTTACCATTGCAAGTTTATTGGCATTTCCTCTGAAATTTACAGAGTTCATGAGATTCTTAAAGCACTGAAAGGTTAAATGACTTGCCCAGAATCCCATAGCCAACTGGCAGGACTTGGCATTAGGTCCTTTTTTTACTCCAAGGCCAGCTTTCTTTCTCCCTCCTTCCTTTGTAGTCTTATTTCATATCATTCCCATTTGTGTATTTTGTGCTTCAGTGAGACTGGGCTACCAGCCATCCTCTAGACTCAACATCTCATTTCCTGCCTCGGTACATTTCACAAGCCTAGGCTTGAAAGACCTTCCATTTTCTTCATCCACCTCCCAGAATTCTTATATTTGAAGGTTCAAATCAGGTTCTGCCTTCACTATGAACCTTTTACTCATTCTTCAAATTATTAATGGACTCTCTCTCATTGATTTACATTTATTTATATGCATACTGTATTCTCTCCACTTCCATCCTCCTCAAATTTAAGTTTCTTGTGGACAGAAATTCTTTCATTTTTATCTTTTCATCCCCAGAGTCCACACAGCACTATCTCTTGCACCCAGTAGGTATTTAATGTTTACTAAGTTGAATTCAACTGAACACTGCTTTGTTTACTGAGTGGTAAATATCCAAGTCCATGACTTTGGGAAAATCCCTGGCCTTTCTTATATATAAGGAGACCAGATGAGGTGTACTCAAAAGTCTTTAAAAACTGTAATGTTAAGAGCTTTCCTGGCCTGGTTCCCCTATGTCAGATATATAGGCACATAGTGAATACATTTAGAAATTCTGATAATATATCCTATAATTTCTTAAGTAGCTTCAATTTCTAAAAATCAAGAGAGAAAGAAATGATGTAGGATAGGATGCCAGTTTACTTATACTTACAGACTACTCATGGAACAAAAATGGCCATTTTGAGGAATCTTTTTCAAGGGTCACCAAATACAGTAGAACTTTTGTTTCCTAAATGGATGGAACTAGAAAAAGTGAAAGGGGGAATTTGGAGTAGTTGGTAGCTTGTAGGGACTGTTTTAAAGCTGTTGAAATGAAGGTTTTTCATAATCACCTAATCTAAACAGACTGTTTGAGAGAGCTCATGTATTGAGTTTTTGAAAAAGATTGAACTAGTTATTTTTAAAGAAGTTACCTTAAACATTAACAGCAAAATTCCTCAAAGCCATTTAAAAAAACCTGTCTGTGAACACTATCCCTGGCGAGCTAATCCAGTTGTACATATTGGGAGTGGCCAGTTTATAACTGAATGGTTTGGCATTTTGATTCCTAAATCCTAGAAGACTTAGGCTGTTTGGATTCTATTATTCAAAGCTAACTTTTGCCAGACCCAGGAAATTACAACAGATTGCTTGTGATCTTCCTGTACTAATCATGGTTCTTAAAGGTTTCCAACTTTATAATAATATAAATAATTTTTCTCTTGGTTCTGCTTATTTCATTCTTCATAAGTTTATAAAGTTTCTGCATTTGAAGGGAGGCACTTGACAGAGTAACTGATACACTAGTTTTTTTTAATTGGAGGAAAGCAAAGATGTGGGTCATAAAGCCACAAAAGTATATTACTCACCTAAGATATGCACTTGTTATGTGACAGTGGAGGTGGTTGAGAAGCCATCTGGTCCATCATCTTTTTTCTTTCCTATTTAAAAAAATCCCACAAAATTTGTTTTTTTTTTGATAATGTGTTGTTTTTATGCTACAAACTTTTACAGACTATCTCCTTTCTACCAAGAGTCTTGTTACAAAGTAAAATAATTAAGAAACTAAAAATGCAGTGACCTCATCTGAAAGTGCATACCACATTTCCATATCTGTAGCACCTCCTCTTTTAATTAATAGAAATTTATTTTCTCTCCTTACTCTCTATCCTATTGAAAAAGAAAAAAAATCCTTTTTATCAAATATGCAAACAAAACAAATTCCCTCATCGGCTGTATTAAAAATATGTCCTATTCTGTGCCCTAAATCTATCACTTCTATGTCTAGAGTCATAGTGGTTTATCATTCGTTCTTATAGCTTTCAAAACTGTCTTTATAATGTTCTTATTGAATAATTGTTTACCTGGTTCTGTTTATTTCATTCATCATTATAAAAGTATTCAAAATTATTTGTTTTTGTAATGTTGAAGTTATAGTATAAATTATTCTGCTCTTTCTGTTCCCTTCACTGTATAGGTATAATTAATTCAAAATTGCTTTCCACAATGATTATACCTTTTTACAGGAAACCCTACAGTACATCAATGTACTGTTTTCCCATAGCCCTTTTGAGATCTAGAGGTTTACGGGTACTAGACCCCAAAATCACGAAACAGGGATCCTGTCCAAATGAATTCCACCCAAGCCTTCTTTCAGCCAAAGACAAGGTTTATTAAAGACCCACCATATTGGCCAGATTAAGGAATCTGAACATTTGTAAGCTATCTACTAGGTTCTTAAGTAATCTGAACACCTTAATGAAGATAAGATGGACCTTATATACAGAAAGACTGTGGGGGGGGAATCTAGGAGAGGCCAAGTAGTTTGGGGTGACAGAAGGAGAAGCCTAAGAAGATCTGGATAGGAGTAGACAGTAAACTGGGGTGAACCAAACTGCTGGGACCTGGACAATGGAGCTAGGAGTAAGTGTTGGAAATGGCCAGAGGCCATAGGGAGGGAAGATAATAGAGGGGACATTGCGGGTAGCCACAAGGAAAGGCCAGTTGGTGGGATTATAGCCTCAGGAGAAGTCAGAGATTTGGCCTTGTGGTGAAGTCCAGGGTTTTTCCTTTCTGGGGGTCTAGATCCCATCCCCATCAGCAGTTCTGTTCACCCCAGTTTACTGGCCACTCCCATTCAGATCTTCCTTAAACCACTTTAGCTGACGAGTTGGCAGGGAACTCTTACATAAGTGATTAAAGGGATAGTTAGAATCCTGGTTTGGCAAATGGAAAAGAACGGCTGTATCTGTTCAGGAATATTAACGGCTGTAGGATGTTGTATAGTTCCATGCACTAGGGGACTGGTACAACAGTAGATTGAGACACCCCCCCCCCCCAAAGATTATCCTAATAGGACCCACAGTGGATGATGATACCTTATGTATTAATGAGACTTTGCCCAGTGATGGAGAATGTGACATCATGTTAAGGAGATTAGAGGATAAGGAGATTAGGAAGTTGTGGAAACCAAATCTTTACTTAAAAAAAAAAAAGTAGGAATTGTGAGAAATGAAAGTTAAGTTTCCACATAGGTAGATAAGAAATCGGCACAGACAGGCTAACTTCTCCATGGGGAAGGGGCGGGGGAGGACACAATTCTAGGCACATAATGTATGTTAGGGGTGGGGCATATAAGGAAGATTATAACCCAGAAGGATTAGGACCAATCCTGATCCACAACTATAAAGTTTGCTCTGGCTTCTTTTGCTGAGTGCATTTCTCTCCCTCCTGCCTGCTTCCCGCGAGAATCGAAAGTACTCACTGAAACTTAATAAAAAATCTGAGAACTTTGGAACTGAGTCTGGGGTCATCTTTATAACAGCAGATACGTTTTTCATCATGAATCCTTTGGGATTGCCTTGGATCATTGTATTGCTGAGAGTAGCTAAAATCATTCACAGGTGTTTGCTGTGAATATTGCTGTTACTGTGTACATTATTATCCTGGTTCTACTCACTTCACTTTGTATCAATTCATATAAGCTCAGTTTTCTGAAATTATTCTGCTTATCATTTCTTATAGCACCATAATTACATTACAATCATACAACTTGTTTAGCTGTTCTCAGTGGATGGGCACCCTGTATTTCCTGTTCTTAGCCACCACAAAGAGGTGCTATAAATGTAATTGTTATTATTAAAAGTGAATTTGCAAGTCAGAGTCAGTCATTTAGCCTTTTTCCCTCCTTACTTTTCTGAAAAATTTGGACTTCTCAGAAATTTACTATAAGCAAACAAAAGTTACACATGATACTCCAGCTGTATCATCTCTGTCCTCCATGCCCTCCTTATGTACCCCTCACAGAATCTTTTACAAGATCAAATCAATTATAGGTTTCCTACAACCACACAAATGAAGCCTTTCCTGATCTCCCCAGTTGCTAGTACCCTGCCTCCCCAAAAAACTTGTATTCATTTCTATTTATTATGTATACACACATGTATATACTTACTGTCCCTCTCCCCTCTCTTAGAATGTAAACTTGTGTATAAGGGTTGCTTCACGATTTATTTTTGTATCCCCAGTGCTTAGCTCATAGTAGGATAAGTCCATTAATATTCTACTACCTTCCCTTTTTATTTTAAAATCTTTGTTAGAAGGGGAGGCAAGGAAAGATATTCAGAAATGAATAAGAGAAATTAATAGCAAGAGGTCCCCAAGTCTTACACATTGCACGTATTTTCAGACTTTTTTTATGTATTGATTGGCTATGCTGCTTATTTCCTCATCCTTTTTTTCTTAAAAAAAAAAAAACTATTTGGGGGCAGCTAAGTGGATAGAGCACCGGCCCTGGAGTCAGGAGGACCCAAGTTCAAATGTGTCCTCAGACACATAACACTTACTTGCTGTATGACCCTGGGCAAGTCACTTAACCCCACTGCCTGACCACCCCGCCCCAAATAAAAGAAAGAAAAACAATACTATTTGTTATATGGGAGAGAAGGAAGAGGGAAACTGGTAGAAGGTATGGTAATGCAAGTAAATAAAATATGTCAATAAAATTTCCTTAAAAATATAAAAAAACAAATTAATGTAATTTAAAAAGAAAGAAAAGGCAGAGGTTAAATTTTCCATTACCTGTGGGAAGGAAGATAAAGATGCTGTGCGTGACAGCGATCCTAACTCAAATTAAACTCAGAGACTTCTCAAGGTGGAAAGCAAAGGTTATCTTTATCTTGGGAGATGGCTGTCTGCTCCTTGGATAGACATGGAGAGAGAAAGACCGCATACACAGGCTGCCTTATAAAAGCTAATCTCCGCCCCCCACGCAAAGTTTCCGCCCACTTCGCAAAACAAGTCTCCACCCACCACTATCCCTTACCCCCTTAACGGGGGGTAGGCTTACAGTCTAACTGGGAGGTGGGGCTTATATTCCAGGCCCCAAATTCAAAGACAAGGAAAGAGACGGGAAGCCCAGGACCGAGCCTCAGGTTGGGGGTGGGGCGGGGCTTATTCTCTGTGTTACATGCTTAAAAACAGAGTCTGAGCAGGGGAGGATTTTGAAAATAATAATCAAAAATTATTGACCTTTTGAGGAGGCTTCACCTCTGAGAGTTCATCTCTTACAATATGTATCACAGAATGTCAGAATTGAAAGAATCCTTTTTCCTGTCTTTTTACCAATGAAAGGACTGAACCTCAAAGAAGGAAGGTGATAAGTCACAAGGCCCCAAGTCACTAGAAGTAAGAGGACAATGTCAGGACTTGACTGCCAACTCAGGGCTTTTTCACTACACCAAGCTTCCTCATTTCTACTTCACCTTTTTCCACATACACATTCGGAAGTTCATTGAATTTAATCTGCAAGAAATTTCTTTTAAAAAGGAAATATATTGGCATTCCTCCATGTACATTTGTAATGTACATTCCTCCTGTGGCTTGTATTTATTCTTTAACAAAGGAAGGTAAAATGTTCATCAACTTGGGAAGTTCACAGAAAAGTTTTCACTCATGTTTTTAGCCTTCCTTCCCCCCAACTCTAATTCCTTTTTTCCCCAGTATAGGCTCCTAGTAACTTCCTGCATTCTAATCTTTTCTATGCAAAGTGGAAAAGATATGATCTCAATCTCAGGCATTTATTAAACAGTTTGCCTTCTACCAGGAGAAAGTATATGTACAGCGTATGTAAGGAAATACTAAGTATGTGCAAGGTAAATACACACAGCAATTAGGGAGAAATATCATAGCTGTGGGCTGGAGTAAGATCAGGAAGGGCTCCTGGTGAGTGGTGTTGGAGCTGAGCTTTAAGGGGCTTGGGGTTTCTTAAGATTCAGAGGTGAGGAAGAAGAATTATTTCAGATGTGAATGAGAGCAAAGGCAAGTAAATTGAGATGTAATGCTACCAATGGGGAAGTTCAAGTTTGAGCCTTTACAAGCAATTGTCTGCACAGAGCATAGGGATAGATAATTTTTGCCCCTGGAATCATGCTTAAGTGAAGCACGGCCATTACATAACAATGATTCAATGAAACATCCCAGCTGATGGATGTAAAACTCTTCTGCTTTTAAAATTTTGATGATTTAGTCATAGTTTGCCTATTTGCCCAACAGTAAATACTAGATGATTATATATGCATATGATAAATGTGATACATATATGTATGTACATATATTTATGTACATTTATTTGTTTATTCATTTTGATCTCATCCTGTGATTTTTTTTCCCTGAACTTCCAAGTTAGGAAACACCCTCCACCAATGTACATCTGTGTTTTCCAGCTTACTTTTAACCATACTCGGATAAAATGCTTAATTTTAAAGTACCAAGATAAACTTGGGATACTAAGAGATTAAGTGACTAGTCCAGAGCCTCCCTGACAGTTTGTATCAGAGGCAGAGCTTGGATTTGGTTCTGACTACCACTCTGATTCTCTAGTAACTTAAATGATGTGTGTGTGTTTACACATAAACATATATACATACACATAATACATATATGTTTCTGTGTGTATAGTTCTGAACTTGATAAGTGCCAACAAATAGAAGCATTTCCACGAAGAACAGAAGATTGTATATGAAATAATTTTTTTATTTGTGACTTGTTTTTCTCTATATAACAACCAGATGAAGTAGGTATTTTTATTATCCATATTTTGCAGATTAGGAAATTGAGGCTCAGAGGTGTTGAACGATTTCCGCATGGCCATGCACTTAGCAATTGGCAGAAGAGGGGTTCAAACCCTTTCCTAATACTAGAACTTGAGTGATAGCTAAGTGAGCTATCCCAAAACCTTTATTTTGTCAGTCATTCTTGTTAGGTAAAGTGGTGGTGATGTTCGATGGCAATAATAGGTGTAAGAAGAGGATAGGTTAGTTGGTTAGAATATTTGGATAGGCTAGGGGTGGAATAAGCCAGGGGAGGGGAACCTGCAGCCTCAGCCTTTTGACTGAATCCAAACTTCAAAGAACAAATCCTTTTATTAAGGGAATTTGTTCTCTGAAGTTTGTATTCAGTCAAAGGGCCACATGTGGCCTCGAGGCCACAGGCTCCCCGCCCCTGGAGTAGGCTATAGGAAAGTGAGGGCACATTCCCCCCCCCATTTTTCTGTTTTCGATTTTTCTCATTGCTCAAATTGTAAAAATTGGTGCTGTTCAACTCAGAACTTAAAATCTAAATATTTTGTATTTTTGAAAAGTATTGTGTTGTGCATTATTCACTCATTCTGGGCATGTTAATTTGATGAAAGCTTGCTTTTTTTTTTTTTTTACACATTGAGGTAAATGACTTAAGTTCATTGTAGTTACTTTTCCCTCACACAAAACTTAATGCATATGTATAATTACTTACATATCTGTGTGTATACATAAGCTTTAGTATGCTACTAAAGTTTAAAAATGCACTTTGGGATACCCTGTATATGAGGCACACATACCCACATACATGCCGTTAACCCCCCAAACAGAGTTTGTTCTAAGAGACAAATGATTAGGTTGTATGTCCACGTTTAATTTCTTTCAAGGTACCTTGACATGCATTTCATGGGAGCCAGAGCTGGCTCAATTTGGGAGTTGGGGTACCCAGTTATATGCCTTTTCAACTGGGGCATATATCACCCTGAAGAGGCCTAGGACTGTTGGGGTGCTGTAAACCTAAAATCGCGGTACCGGGCCCTGCTGAGTGAATTCAACTCAAATCTTCTTCAGCCAGAGGAAAAGTTTATTACTGATAAATCACATAGGTCAGGTGACGCCCCTAAGGACAGGTGGGCATGAGAAAAGCTCAGCCTTTGGGGCAGGATAGATTCTTACCCAGGTGACACCCGTAAAGACAAGCGGGCATGAGTGGTTCTCAGCCTTGTGGGCCTGAGATTCTCAGCTTCTGAATGAGGGCCAAGGTGGATCTTAAATACTAAAGTAACTTTTGATGGTAAGAGAAGGGGGTTGGGAAAAGGGTCTAGGTAAGAATTCTAATTGGGAAGGTCTGAGAGATTGAATAGACAATGGGAATAGCTAATGGAGGGAACAGGGAGGCCGAAGTTTGAAAGGCATCTGCACCAAATGAAAGGGTGGGGGTAGGACTTTCAAAGGGAGATAAGGGGAGTTGATCAAGAAATTTTAAGATTTAAGGGTTTTCTGGGTCCAGTAGACAAACAGGAGCCAGATTCTTTTCAGGGCAAGGGTTGAAGGTACATCTGAATAAGATCTAAAGGTAAGCTAACTCTTTCAAAGGGAGATGAAGGGCTGGGGACTGTCTTGGGCCCCGCCCCCATCAACCCCACCTCCTGACAGAAGAAACACCTCTTCTATCAGATCACCCCCCTACCATACCAGACCACTCCCAACCTTGGGAAACCTAGGCAGAAGAATCTGTCTCCACCCAAGCCTGGGCAGCTTCCAATGCAATATCATTATCAGTAATACCCTTCTGAAGAACTTTGGAGAAGGGCGCTGGGGTGAGGGGTGTGTGTGGAACTCTGAGTCTCCAAGAGAATAATTTTTCACAATAACATACATACATACATACATACATACATACATACATACATATCTATATCATGGACAGCTCCATGATCTGATTTTCATTTTTCTTTTTTTAACCACAAGAAAATTCAGTTTAGTTATGAAATTTTTATTTTTTATGTTTTGATATGTATTTTTATTTTCCTGCAGTTTTTACTTATCAAGAACAAGTAACCTGGAAAGTTGTCTTAACTAGTATACATGTTTACCTTTCTAACCTTATTGCTTATAACCACATTCTATGTCCAGCTAACCTGGCCTGTGTGTGCTCCGTCATAGAAAATGCTCAGCCGGGCTCTGGCCTTTGTGGTGGCTGCCTCCAGCTTCTGGAATGCCTTTCTTCCTCCCCTTGGCTTCTTAGAATCTCTAATTTCCTTTGAAATTCAGGTCAAATGCTATCTTTCACATGAAGCTTTTTTTGATCCTGTCTTTCTTTCCCCTGGCTACTGGCACCTTACTCCCCTAGATTATTTGAATGTATTTTGTATATTTTTGTATATATCTATATTGTATATCTTTGCATATATACATATGCATATATACATAGTCTCCCCTGAAAGGTCTTTGAGATCAGAGACTGTCTTATTCTTTTTGTGGTTGTGTCCCTAGTACCTAGCACGATGCCTGGCACCAAGATAGTGTTTGATAAATGTTTGGCATTGATTGAGAAAAATGTAAAAGCCTTCATCTGGTATTTGAGGCCTTCCCCAGTTTGCCTCTAAGATAACTTCCCCTACCACTTGAGTTTGTGCAATCTGTGTTGTAGAAAACATGTATTAAGAGTTGTGCTCTCATCTTGCCCTCTCTTGTCTCTGTATAGGCTTGGAACACTCTATGTCTCCACCCGTTAAAGTAGTTTGCTTCCTTCAGTGGCCACATCAGCACAAGAAGTTTAGCTTAGTTTTTTCAGCTGTAGTTCTTACTACACCTTGTATGATGGTTACATATGTCTGTGACTATTTCCTGTATGAGATTTAAACTCCACTTCAGGAATGGTGTTTTTCATCTTTGTTTCCCAAGTCCTGCAATAGTGCCTGGCACGTTGGCAGGTGCTTAATAAGATTGTCGAGTTGAATTAAATTTAACCACAAATCTTAAGTTACTGAAAAGTTGCATTCATTTGCTGTCTACGGTGTTCCCAGCCAGGAAGTTTCTGCTTGTCTGAGGTAAATATTTGAGGTCTTGTTTACATGACTAAAACACAAACTTTTCATGGCAGCCATGAACTTTCTTAGAATTACAGAGCTTAGAACTACTGTATTGGGTATCAGTAGGAAAAGACAAGGGACGTACAGGTCTTCTAATGTAACAGTC